TTCTATGCGCTTTGGAAAGCTCATCATCCTGCCTTTCACCACCACCCCCGTTAGATTTCTTAGAATAGCCACAGCCTTCAGAGATGCTTTCTGAGCAACAGACAGAAATATCACTGAACACCAGAAGCACTTACAACGTTTTACAAGATAATGTTTAATTTTCCAGCCTCAAGTGATGTCCCCATAGGAGTCCTCATTCACGCTAATCTCCCTTCATTAGCCAGATATTACTTTGAAGAAGAGGGAGAGGAAGTACAAGACATCCAACTAGTGTGTGGGGATTCCCACTCTCATTCTTCAGCTACCTGGTAAGGCCTCTGTCACCTTCCATCCAAAGCTCATGTAACTCTTCCAGGAGGACCGAGACACTCATGCCCTTAAGCCTGAGGACAGGGTCAGAAATGAACACACAGCAGAGCAGTCTGACCCCATTCCCTCTGACCTCCCTGGAAGGGGAAGGGCTGCTCACCCTATTGGGGTCCCAGTATTTCCAGTTAAAAACTGGAAGTGTTGAACAGGATGGCTTTGGCTGGCTACCATAAACCTTCCAGACTGATCTGAACATTATTATACAGAGGGACTGTGTAGGAAAGGCTGAGAAAATATATGTGCTAATTGGCATTGTTTTCCTTCTAGCCTACAGCTGCTTGTTGAAGGAAAACTTCCTATTTAAGCAACCACTATTAAAAAACCTTGATCCATAGGAGAAATGCAGTTTTCTGAGCAAGCAGAAATATGTGGTTTCATCAGTCTCCACCGGCATGTTTCATCCGCTCCTTCTCTCATCTCTTCCCCAACTATGTGCCATGGGTTAGCATGTACAACACAGATCCCAAAGAGCTTGATCAAACATCATAGAAGTTTTAGGATAAATTCTTACTGTCCAGTTATCTAAGTAATCATTCAAATATACTCTTTCTATCTTAGATTTCCAACCAGCCTTTGAATTCACGTTCCATGTTTATATGAGCAGCTAGTTACACTATGGAAAAAAAAAAAAAAAAAGATGTTTGGACAACTTAGAGGCTGGTAAAAGCAGTAACCCTCAACGGCCTTCAGACCTAGAACTCCCCCTTCAAGAGGCAGTGCGTAAGTTAGTCTGTCACAGGGGTGCTGATAAAACCAGCACCTTGTAAAACACGTCAAATCTTGCTTAGTAACACGAGAGTCAACATGGCATCGGTGAGCAAGTCAACCAGCGAGGAGCTGGTGATCACAGAACATACACTGATCACAGAGGAAGGCTTTTCTGTCACGTGTGGCCACTCTAGCTACTTACAGTAAGATTTCTTTTTGAACAGCAACAGCAACGACAAGATGCTACACCTCTGGAGCAGGCTGGCCAGGTGCCCGCGTGAGCAGCCAGTAATCCGTCCCACGGGGGCAGTGCTGGCAGCCAGAAGGCAGAGCAGTGTGTCCTCATAATTTCATTTTCTTCACCACAGGAATTGGCAGTGCTTGATAGATTTTAGCTGAGTCCTCATTAGTGACCAGCTTCACCCAGACAGGGCGGAAGCTGCCTTTGAAGCCGACAAAAGCCATTTTTTCTGCAAATCGGAGCAAATATATTAGGAGTGTGTCAGGGCTGCAGGAGAAAACCACTTGTGTGCGTGCCTACACCCAAAGGCTGGATGGATGCAGGTGTGTAAGAGCACACATGTGCACACAGACTTTGCCAATTATGCATTCTCCAGATATTAAAGAAATAATTTCTTAATGAAACTTAATTAGAATTTTATTTATATGTCATAAGCTTCCACTAATTAACAACGTGTGATACATAGCAGAGAAGAGAGAAGGAGAAACCCTTCCTTGAGCTATCTGTTGAAGCTATCATTATTTGCATGGTGGTTATACTCAAAACCCTTTCCTGCTTGGGAAAGGTGAGGGGATGATGAGGGACAGGACAACAGACAAGACCTATGTTACCGCATATAGCACATACACACACAAGAGGAAAGCCCACAGTTAGAGCTGATCAGAGCACAGTGCGCAATAGAGCAATGTCCTAGTGCAATATGTGATGCTTTAAAATCGATGTGCTTTGTGCCATCAAGCCGGAATTTTTTTTCAACAGAGAACCAGCTAAAAATAAGTTCAGACAAGCAAAATATCCTGTTTTGGGGAATTTAGTGGGGGAAAAAGTCCAATATTCCTATTGTTAAAATGCCTTTTTATTTAAAATGAAGCTGGAAAATCGAAATATCTGAATTCTTTACTTCTAAGAACAGCTGCCAGAGCACTTTTCCCATCTACAGTTTTAAACTGAGCGCTGTTATCCAAAGCTGCAATGGATACAACCTTACCAAATAAATAAATGGCTGGTCCCAGGATATTTGAGCACATGCTGATAGACACAAGCAAGGCAAAGTTTAGAAGCAGAAAAAAGGTCCCTTTACTGGTGCTATGGGAGGGCAATAGATCAAAGGGGTTTAGAATTGCGTTTTTAAAAAGTGGTTACCTTTTAACCTAAATCCCTCTTCTGCTCCAAGTTTCTCCAGTACTTTAGTCCATGGTCCTCTTGAAATGAATCTTCCTTTAGATGTCACCAACACTATGGAGCTGAAGGAAACAAAGCCACTTATAAACAGATGAAGAGTCAGAACACGTTCCTTGCTTGTCTGTCTTGAGCACTGGTAACTCCTGCCTGTGTGACTCAGAGACACCCATGAACTACAGTTGTTTCTGCTTTAATGGCTTTTGTCAGTGCTTTCCAACAGTTTAGTCATACACTCACTTTTCCAAACACACAAAACCCATTAGAAAGCATAGAGAAATCATTTTTTTTCTTTTTAAACCCTGGATGATTTGAATGTTTCCAACCAGCAGTTCCATCCTGCTTTGCTCAGAAAGGAACGTGCTCTCCCTGGGATGCTCTTAGCAAGGCTCAAGTAATTTCTTGTTCTTTCATCATTAGCTGATTAAAGCTGAAGAAATTAACTTCTTTGAGACTTTTGCTGGCCTGATGCTTTTCCTTAATTTTCAGTGTGTATTTGCTTAAAATATTTATTATTATTATTACTATTACTACCATTACTGACTTTCTTGCATGTACTGTATTTCACCTGAAAATTCTTGGGGTCCTCTACAAATGCCAAGTAACAAACAAAAGACATGAGTTAAGTGAGTTGAGATAATGCAAATCTGTAATTACTCCAGCAGAACTTGGTAACTGCCTAGGCTTAATTCTAGATGGGTAGAATCAAAACCCAAATTAAACATGAAGAGATAACCACGTAGTGAGACTTTTCTGGGGAGAAGCACAGCACGCTCAGTGAAGTTAAGCTCATTACTTCCTAGATGCACAAACACCTCCAAAGGTTATCTCAAAGCCTATCGAGGAAGAGTTACGCTCCAGTGAGTTCAGTGGCAGTTTTGCTATTAAGTTCAATGGGGTTGGAATGTCATCTTTGTTCACCTAATTAAAGCTACATGACAGTAACTGAGCAAACACTTGCCTAGATGAAATTATTTCATTCCGCCTTGCAGGGTTTCAATGAATGAAACTTCCCTCACTCAAACGGCACTTGCAGTCTTGCAGAATCAGAGCCTTGCTGGGTCTGCTTTTCAGCATCACAGTGGACATAAGTCACTAAAATTAATTAGGCAACAGCTCCTGCAGAGCTTAAGCCCTGAGCTACCGAGTGCAGCAGTTACATCTTAACACCTCAGCTGGAGCTGGAACTGTTCAGGGGAAAGTAGCAACGGGTGGTGGCAGAGGAACAAGAGAAGCAAGAGTTAAGAGTCATCAGGAGTTTTCCTAGAATAAACCTGAGGTGTTAAAATGCTCCAGTGCTTACAAGAGTGGATTGAGCCAGCAGGCCGGTTTTGACTACCTTGCGAATGCTGAATCACTTCTTTTTTATTTCCTTCAGTTCACTAAAATCATTACTTTCTATTAAGCCTTTCCTGCTATGGAAGTTTAAAATAAATTCACCAGATGTTTTGTTTTCTTGTCCCTGGGAAACTCATCAGAAAAATGATGTATTACAAAAAAGGAATTTGGCCTGCAGAGAGTTGCTTAAATGAATGAAGAGGTTTGTCCTTGCTAGAAACACCTCTTCTTGCATCCCCAAATCCATAAACCTAAAAGATGTTTTAGCAGTCTTTGCATGAGAGGCTGGCGGGGCCCCTTCCCCTCTGTTAGCACCATCCCTCTGTACAGTCCATGCTCGGCATTGCAGCGGGGAGAGGTGACAATAAGCAACTGGCTGCGCAGTGCTGCTGTCTGCACAGTGTCCACATCTGAACCTGAACATGTTCATCCACAAATGGATGAAAGATATTTCATGGCTATAGCTGAAGCCTGTACCTGATCAAATTGGAAAGGCCTGCAGGGGCTGGGCTGGGCAAAATTTTGGTGAAAGAAGGACAGTAATTGGGGGTTCAATCCTTGCAAAGACACATCTGAGAGAGACCTGAGAGGTGCTGATCATGTTGAGTAAACTTGTGGTCCTAATCCTAATCCTAATCCTGTTCCAACACTAATCCAGAGAAGACAATGAGGCTCAGAAAGAGTTAAATAAACCTAAAGCCTAATTACGATTCCATCTTCTAAATCAAGAAGGAGCTGGATTTAGCCAGGATTGGGATTGGATTCTTTGCAAAGAAGGAAGATGGCCTCTCTGAAAGGTCCTCTTTTTCTCTTTTTTTTTTTTTTTTTTTTTTTTTTTTTTTTTGTGAAAGAAAAGTGAGCAACTACCATGCTTCTCTGAAGTAACTTCTTGATGTGTTTTTTGCAACCTTCAGAATTATTGAAGACAGTAAAAACACATTTGTGTCCACCTGCGTGGCACTGCTGAAACTTCCCCCAAGTCTCTAGAATAAATGCCAGAACAATATCCTGTCAATCTGTCCACAGCTATTTCAGGTGATTCATCAACAAAGCAATCATATTTGTACTAAATATTACATATCAGGTTTCAAATCAAAACAGATTTAATAACAATGAAATATATTAATTTCCCAATAGCACTCCACAAACTAATATGAGAACAACCCCTTTGGTTAAAGGGTTTCTGAAGTTGTTCCCACTCTTATTGCAGCAGATGAAGCCGCTGTCCTCCGGGTTGCAGGAACATGTGTCGGCTACTTACCACCCACTTGCAAAACTCTGTATTTCTGGCTGCCCGTACTTAAAAAATAAAAGCATCCAGCGCTTAGGTCTGGACAAAGAACATGTGCAAAGAGGAATGTATTTTATTAGTGGAATTTTCTGTGATTGGAGAGAGTACACAGGCAATAGAAAAATGTAAACTGTGCACATCTGTACCAGTAAGTGTTTTGTGAATTTAAGTCTGCAGTTTGTCTGTAGCCCACAACATAAATGTAGATCTGCAGTTTATTAATCAAATGTAGCTCTGCAGTTTATCTGGGGCTCAATCAGTTCCTAAATCACAGAGTCTGCATCCTTCTGCTGCCTGCATGTCCCGCTCACACTTGACTCTATTGGAGCCGGCAGGTACAAAAGCACATTGTTAGCCCAGTCAGTCTGGTCCATGTTGGGTGACAAAAAACAGGGAAAAGATGAGTGTTGCACAGCATTCTTGTATGCTGCACCAGATTATTTGACTTGGTAACACCAGATTATTTACTCACTGATCTTTGATGTTGTTGACATAATTTTCTATTTGTGCTGGGATTCCTTGTAGAATCGAGTTTTTGAATGTTACTCGATCAACAATTTTTCCATTATGTCCATCAATCACAACCAGCTGGATACCCTCATCAGTGAGGAATAACCTGACACCGTCAACCTGTGGAGGGGGAAAAACATTCTTGATCTATCATTGTAACAGAATTGCAAACAATCACCTGTAAGAAGCACTGATAGTCTTGAGTCACAGGACTGCTCTTTATATCAAAGGGCAAAATTCCAGATCTCTGTGGTCAAGGTGTCTTGCATTTTTACTAGCAAGGGGAAGTTACAGCCTTTTTTTTTTTTTTTTTGCAAAACACAAGCAGAAGTGACCTGAACCTAACTAGCCATGGTAACTTTGTAAGCAACTTTTCCATGAAAATAAAGCAACTATCTTAGAATTTTGTCCCATAAAGTTCACTGGGAGGACCTGCTCACCTCAATGTATGCAAAGTCATCCCTTAGGTGGAAGTACTGTTTCTTATATGTTTCTATTTTCACTTCTAGTAGGTGGTCCTTAGTCTTCTGTTTACCAAAAAAAAAAAAAAAAAAAAAGGAGAGAAAAGAGTTTTTCTAGTGAGGTTGTCCATTACCTGAACACTGCATTTTCAGAAAGCATTTTAAACCTTGAAATTCAATCAATAAGAAAGCTACATAATAAGCACTGACTTGCCAAATTACATTGCTAATGAGACTGGGCACAATGGTAACCTCTCTGCTCGTCCTGTCAGCATTTAAATTGTTTCACTAAATGGCAGAATATAAGTGATTCTCACTTTGCAGAGCTGACACATAATTCTCCGAGGCTTTGCTGTACGTTCCTGCTTCAGGAGTGATGAGTGAAAAAACCAAAAAAACCCAGATAAACATCCCCCTCCCTCCCCCAGAACCAGACTGGATTCCATATAGGAGACAGTGTTGTGTATCATATGAATGTGACACTCATCTATGCAGGCCCTTCTGCTGTTCTTATAGCCTGGAAGAGCCAGGAGCCAGGCAAGGAACCTTGTGTCTCTCCAGAATCACATTCCCTGGGCCAACTTGTCTTCCAGCTCACCATTTTTCACCCTGTGCTTTTAAGCATAGCACATCACAATAGAGCCCCAAAAGACTAAGTAGGCAACTTTAACCAAAGTCTTGGGAGGCTCTGTCCTGTGCGGACCTGTGCTCTTTCCATGTGCAAGAAGCTGTTTTGTATTGTTCCACATTCCTGAACTGTTTCAGAAAATTAGGCGCAGGATATACTGAATCTGGTACAAAGTCTTTCTATGTCTGTCAGTACAATATGTGCCAGAAATACAGATTCACAATGGCAATAATTCTGTGATAAGAAATCAACTACTTTACCAGTTGTGCACTAGAGAGCTTCTTAGGCATTGGCACTTCTACTATCGGTGTCTCAATGTACTTGGGATAGGCCATGGCTTCACAGTCGCTGATGCCAGCCGTCTTTGGGATCACGGCTTTGATCCTTATTCGTTCACAGCCCTTCACAGAGCAGAAAGCAAATTTATCCTTCTCATTTTGAGCTTTGAGTTTCAGAAACAGCAGCCTGCAGATAGGTGAGAAAAGTGAACAGCATTCTTGAGACTTCTGTGCAAAAAATGACTAACTCCCAGTTTTGGTGGACTCCTTCCTAATGGTTTGCAATATCATGAGTTGCAAACCCTCAGTGCTGATCTCTGCACTTTTATAGTGCTCAACATACCACATGTGAACAGAAGGGGACACACCTCAGAAATGGTCTGGGGAGCTTAGGGAACTTATGACAGAGAAATTAGATGACACCTGAACTCCCTTTGAGCTCTATTTTATAATGATACACTTATGTAGAAATACACGCTTTATATTTTAGGTCTTTCTTTCTTTACCATTATTTCATTTCTTTAAAACAAAAAAACAGGCTTTACACTCTTACTTCTTGTGCATCCCTGTCATGGTGTTTATAAATGGCTGCCGTTCAAAACAAAGAGGGTTTCATGGTCTGCACTTCACTTTTGTCTTTTTTTTTTTTTCCCCCCTAGTTTGCATTCACTTGGCAAAGCATTTCCCAGAGTAATTGTCAGTGCAGCAGAGGCTATGAATGACTGGCAGCCATGGGAGTCCCAGGAAAATTAAACGCTGGTCACATTCCCAGAAAGACTTTCTGGTTTTGTTCTGATCCCTGCTGATGGCATTAGCCAAAAAGGCTCACGATTCCAGCAGCATTCCCAAAGCAGTGTCCAAATTGTCAAGGCCTGCTTCCTTACCCGGTGTCCTCATCCCAGTAGTAGTATCCTTTGCTAGGATATCTGTGCTCTAGTTTCTCCATTTGAGAGGTTCTGTAGAAGGTTCCAGTTTTGTACGTTTTCTTCAAGAGACGATTGTGGATGTCTGAGAGAATGGAAAATGTCGTCCCTTTAGGGTAGCAAAACCCTACTTGGATCCAGTCGTTCCTAAAAATAGCAAAGACTTACATTGTAAAAAGTTGACACATGACTATTATTTTCCTCGGTATGCTAGAAGCCAAACTAAATAATTCACTCTGAAATGTAACTTTTTTTTTTTTCCTGGCCAGTTAAAATTTTAATGGTTTGGGATGAATCAATGCAACGTAAATTAGACATAACAACCACGGGTTAGTTAAGAAATGTGGGACAGATCTACTTCTGACTTCTACACCTGTGACTTCCATGCACCAGGAATGAATTAGCTCTAGGCTTCTAAAAATGAACCGTGTTATCTTGCAGGGCTTCCCGGGGGAGGAAACAGCAATTTGAGATGTCAAATAGAAAGATGGTGAACTCAACGGACTTCCTGGAACATGCATGTTCATTCTGGAAGAGCTCATGAGGTGATGACCTCACCCATTAAAAATGTGCAGTTACACTATTGGGCTGGAATGTTGGATTTCAGTTGGATCACTCACTTATTGAAGTTGATGAGCCATATGGCCAGCTCTTCAGGGGCTGTCTTGTCCCAGTGGATGGTGTAGCCTTTCCTCAGAGTTATAACTGGCTGATACTGCTGGTAATGAGTGCTTTTGCTCAAAGCCCCTTCCAAGTAGAGTGGGTGATTGTGGTAGTCATTTTTTATTATTTTCATTTTCAGATTGGCTGGCTTGTAGGCTTGGATGTATATCTAGATGAAAAAAAGATCAGCAAGAGTTTAATGAGTGATAGTAAAACATTAAAGGTGCAGCTACTCAATAGATGTGAACTGGTGCGAGGCCTGTGACTTCAGCAGCGATCTGTACGCCATACACTTATATTAAATATCTCAGTCTTCCTTTTCAATAAAGGAAACTGTTTTCAGGAAAAAAGAAGAGTCATTTCCTCATCCGTTGAGTTCAAGAGCATGTGTCAGCCAGGGCTTCAAACAGGCCTGCAGTAGGGCTGAAGTGTTCACAGCGTTAGTGGCAGCCCTCAGCAGTGGGACAGTATCTACCTCAGACATCTGACTTTACTGAACAAGGACCCTTCTGTCTGGATTTCAGATGCACGAAAACCAGCTCAGTGGTTAGAAATTGGCTTTAGCAGCACTACACAGAAAAAAAAAAAACAACAGTTGCAACACCCAAAGCAAAAACAGGCGCTACTATCAGAGGAAAGTGAGGACTCTCAAGGCAGCAGCACTCAGAGCTCGTGTGGTGGGAAGAATAGTTTTGTGGTTACACAACAGGACGAAAGATCATGAGAGATGAAGCTTATTTTGACTGCACAGCACATTTCCTGTAACACTGTGGGCAACACTTCCCTCTGTAAATCAAGGAAAAATAACTAGCCAGCAGCCCAGAGACTGATGAATATTAATGTTAATGCTCATGGAGCTCTTAGAGGACTTCAGGCAGAAGTTGTTAGAGGTGTTAGCAGTCAAGGCCAAAGTATCTGAAAATGTACCACAGCATCCTCATGTTCAAAACCACCTGTGCAGACATGCAGATAAATAAACCTTATGCACCCTAAAGAAAGTCCATTTCTAAAGGTCAAGCTTTACCATGCCAAGAAATTTCAAATAAAATAAAGTGACAATGATGCTGCAGGGTAAGCAGCTTTACCTGTGCAAAGTGTCCACTGCAGATGGAGCCTCTCCAGTCAGGGACATCAATGCAATCAGGGTGCTTGATTAACCAGTTATCTTCTTTTATCAGGTATGAGCCTGGATATTCTGACACAGAACCATCTACATCATGAAAAACTGATGTTTTATCACCATCCATATCCAGATCATTGAACCAGGGTCCAGGTTCTCCAAAGAAGACCCTTGAGGTAATCTAAACAAAACAGTGAAACACATTTACATCTCCAGAAAGGAATTAATCACCTATAGTATGGAGCAAAGGATAGCTATGGTCACTAGAGTGGCTCAAAGGACCCATTTTGTGACTTTATTTGGCATTGGAAAGAAGCTTGGACAAGAAATAGTATTTGGTTCATGGGCCAACTTGTGCATGAAGAAATCTGTGTACGCACCACCATCACATTTCTTAAAATGGCCACAGATTTTGTCTGCTTAGCTTGAGACATTGTAGGTTTGATGTTCAATGGCTCTAAGGCCCCACCACCCCAGACGTGGTCTGGGGTTGCAGGTCCTCTGAGATAGCACTTACATGTTAATAAAACTATGAGCTTCGGAAACTGACCATCCAAAGATGGAAGCACTAAAATAATTTTCAGCTGAGCTGGTCTTGTTAGTTGGCAGGAGCATCAGGGCCACTTGGTGCAGGGATGCTAGGGTTGTCTCTACCTGCCCACTGCCTCTTTGTTAAGCCTGAAGGCAGTGTAGAGCTGGGTCACACACTTAAGGGTTGTGTTTGATTTATCAGACAGAGCAGACACAGATTTCCCTGCTGACCATCGGGGAAAGGTTAAAATAACAAGAATTTCAGCCTCAGCTATGAGAAGGTTTGTTTTAAAATTCTGAAGGAAGGTTCAGGACATGGGGCAATTTCACTAGAGCCACTTCACTCATTTTCTGCTAATATATTTTTAAGGTTGCAAAGCCACATAAAGTCACACTGATGCTGGGAATAATCAGCGACCTCCCCTGGGAAATGGCTGCTCAGGCAACCTCTGACATATTTTTATCCAGTATAAATAAATGTCACGTCACCAGCCTGCTGGGTGTAATGTGACAGAGTGACCAACGGACACTTTTAGGGGAATTTTGCCTTTCCCATCCCATTTGGCACAAGGATCGCTAGTCAGCACTTTTCCTGACACGCGCGCAAGTCTGCTAATTTTTTGAAAGTTAAGCAACCCAAATAACTTCAGTCCTAACTACTTTATTTATTTATTTGTTTGCAATGTTTAGCACTTGGATTTAACAACTGCTAGAGGTGAACGTCAGCAAACCAGTTAGCACATATTTGTGCAAGCAAATACAAAAATAACTCAAAAGCACAGACCCCAGGATGGGTTCAGACCAGCACCCAGAGGTTCATACTGTAATTCAAAGCTCGGCAGACCCTTTTTGGCTGGCCTCTGCTCTCATTTATGTCTGCAGAGCTGGAGTTCATGGAATTACCCTGATGTGCAGGGCTACAGAATTACCCTGCATCAGCTCAGTTTCACAGGCTGTTTCCCAAAATCAGTATTTTCTGCTTCTAGGTGAGTAAGACCTTCCACAACAGACTTCCTTCTGTTGTTGCTTTAACATTATATCACTCTTGAAAATAAAGGGGCAGATTCTTGTCCCTATTTCACAGTTTCTGAGACATACAGAAATGGAAATTATTTTCACTTGAATGTCACTCTTTTTCTTTTCTTTTCTTTTTTTTTTTTTTCTTTTAAAACTGATGCCTGCTTCTGATTTGCTTGCAAACCTGTCAGAAAATTGGATTTTCTTGTTATTTCACCCATCCAATTTTCTCTTTCTTAACTGCCCCCCTCCTTGTTAAACTTCTGGCAAAGACAATGGACAGCCTCGTGTTTTCTCCTAAAGGCTGCTACACCCATTTTGCCCACAGCCTCATTTCCAAGCCAACTGAAAAGGCCCTTCTGAGAAGGATAACTCACAGGGACGTCTTCAAAATGGATGTCAGTGACATTGTTCTTGGGGCAGCTCTGCCAGGCGTTATTGAGCCGGAAGGCCAGAGCACTCGTGTGCCTGCCGTCCAGTGCAGCAAACTTGCGGAAGGTGCAGTTCTGGACATTGATCGGTCCGTCGTAGAACTGAATCCCTCGAATGGGAAAATCCCTAAAACACATTTGGAGGAGACAGAGAGACTTGGTCATGACACATTAACATGAGGATGAGAATGTGTTCTAGACACATACAGTCCCACAGCACTTGTTTCTCAGCTGCTTTCATGTTTCACAGCCCTTAAAGTGACTCCTGAGTTCATGTTTTGGAAGAGAAGGGATTTCCTTCCTTTTTAGGTCTGTGGAGTCCTCTTATCCTTGCAAGTTCAGCTTAAGTTCTCTCATGTCTGAACAGATCATCTTTATTTGGTCTGTGCTCCTCCAGGGAAGGAACTTACAGCAATGCCGAAGCATTGACTTAAAAATTAATAAATTCATCTTTGCCATCAGAAATGAGTTCTGCAGCATTGAAACCTGAAACTCATAAGAGCCCTGCAGATTCCTTGGGCTGAGTAACAGCAGGGCTTAAAGAAGTCCCACCACATCTTTCAAAGGGACTTGGAGAGAAACAGTGCAACTCAACTGCAATAAAAAATGGATTTGCAAACAAGGAAAGGTCTTACAATCTGTAGGGTTGAAAAGAGGAGAAGGGGCAGAGTAATGAACCTTTATTAACAGCCTTTTCTGATATCATCTGCAAGGTAAAGAAGACACCATTTTTCCCACTGATTAAGCGAATGAGATGCTTAAACGCCTTAAGAGGCTAGGATAAGATGTTTCAAATTTTACTTATGATAAACAAATTTGATCCCTTCCTCATACGAATGGTTTCCCTTAGACAAGACCTGCCTGCTCCAATGGTTTCCCTTAGACAAGACCTGCCTGCTCCTGTGCATTTGTTCTGTGCCTCTGACTTACTGCACACAACACCCAAGACGAGATATGCCCCAATATATGTATGTAAAGGATATTAGAAGGAAAGTCGTAGCAGATTGGGTTTTCATTATTACTATAGTTAATAATAAGCCTCCTGTGTTGCTACTGAGAAGCAAAGTTGAGGCGTATAATATGGCAGAAAAAATCAGCTGAGCTGTTTGCTCCCTGTAGGGCTACTATTAGGACAACTGTACTTTTAGGAGTAACAACAAAGCATTATTTCATTTGCAAACCAGTCAGTAGGATTAAGGTCTAGGAAGAGGACACACATGAAGTGCACTGACCATTTTAAGACTATTTAACAAAGGCATCAAATTCCTGTAGCACAGCAGCAATAGTAGCAGCAGCTTGAGGACAGTTCGAGCCCAGAGAAGGGCTTCTACAAGCTTTCCTGGCAGCTGACCTGGATGGAGACTGCTACATTGCTCAAGCACTGCTGATGACATTTACAGAAGTGCCCAGCTAGCACATAGTCCTCTTGCTGTCTTCTCAACTCTTTTTGCAAAAGGGAGGGGAAAGAAACAAGAGTTTGATGCTCTCTTGGCAGCCTGCAAGTATGTACCTGCCAGCAGCAGCTGTGCAGTGAGGACTTTGGGATCAGGAGGCATGAAACCAAATCCTTTCTGTGTAATTGTTATTAAACTGAACAGCACTGAAGAAACCACACTGGGCTGGAGTTTGCACCGAGAGTGGGAAAAACGAGAGCTTTGATGTGCTGAGCTGAACTTACGGGCCGATGGGCAGGGTCCTTCCTCTGTGATCGAGACCTCCAGGTCCCCAGATCTCGTTGTCCATCGTCTCAGTGCCCAGGTTTCCACTCTCACCAACAAACAGGCTGTTCTTGATTTCTTGCTTTGAGCCATCATCATGAGGGAAAGTGCCACCGCTAGGAAGGAAGGGCTGGAGGTGAAGGGGCTGATCACACCCGTCCCCACCAGCTGTGCCCCAGGCTGCAGCACAACCTGTGCCACACTTACCTGGCCAAGGTCAGGCCAATGCCATTGTCAGCAAACCTGTAAAGAGAAGAGAGATGCTTCAGCAGAGGTTTGGGTTTGCTTGGTTTTATCATGTCAAACTAAAATAACCAAACCAATGAGGTGGAGGACAGCAGGGCTTAATTACTGAACAGTGCTCGTGGGGAACTTAGGGTTTTCCAGGTTTATTCTCTGTCTAGTTTCGGAAGATCTTTTTTGGCACATCTTGCAGTATATGCAGGTCACATGAAGGAGCAGACATGCACCTGATTGCTCCAAGATGAGTTTAAGCCTGTGATTACTGGGCCGGGTGATTGTCTGATAAAGCTTTTTCCTCATGTCTAATGACCATGCTCTTTTCATTGTTAGGTAAAAAGATCATGTTTATCTCTCACTTCAACTAGCTTTTATTATTTAATAGTGCTTTGCCTTACACACAACTCTGTGCTCTCCTGTGTTCGTGTACCACACACTGCTTCCGTGAAATAACTTTACAAGAGGAAGTGTTATAAAAGCAGAGAAGTTTGGCTTCTTTTTCATCAACAGGAAGACAGAGATCAGATATCCCTTACTAAAAAAAAAATAAAATAAAATAAAATAAAAATTAAAAAAAAAAATTAAAATGTCTTTCCATTTTGCTGAAATTCCAAAGCTTTTAGATGAGATAAATCACAGCTGTCGGTCCATGACTCCTGCTTATAGAAAGACTACAATTAATATGATAGTATGAGTAAGTCTTGGTGTCTTCACATCGGTGTCAGTGTTAACACGTCTGTCAATGATCTCGGCAAAAACCAGTGGAGATCCCGCCGCAGAGTAAAACCCAGCTTTGTCCTGCTTCTGTCTGTAGGTGGCAGCCCTTCACACGCTATCGCCTCCCCTTCGCTTTCTCCAGCCCCAGAAAGGCACACCGTAGTTTATGTACTGCATGCCACATTGGCATTTGCTTTGTTAATGTAATACATAAGTCTTTTTGTAGCAATAGAAATGGAAATGACTGTGGCTATAAAGACAATTACATTTTGATGGCTGCTTCCTCGAATTCACATACACATAGGTTTGCTGCTGGAAACTGATCCAAGTACTCAAGCTTTCAGCAACCTCCATACGCTGCATTTGCTCCATAAGCAACATAAATGTCTCAGTGAGAGTGATCTGCGAATCTGCCAACACTTACTGGCCATGGAGCGGGTTAGATACTTCTGGTTCATAAGTTCATAAGAAGCACAAACTCTATTACCCAGTACTACGTTTCTGACTGTGTTGTGACAGTCTCCTTCTCGCCAACCTAACCGGTCACTAGAGTCAGCTTATACCACCGGTTGCTTTAAGAGGTTTGGGTCACTCAAAAGTAAAGCAGCTCTGGCCAGGAATTGGACACCGTATAATGGCGTGACAGCTATTCCTACTAGAGTTACCATAATACGCCTCATAAAGCAGCCTCTTCCTTTTTCTCCTCTTTCTTCATTGAGGTTGATATTAGGAGGCTGGCTCAGCAAAAGAAACTGTAGCAGATCATCTGTTTTCAAGTGCAAAACAAATATCTGCTCTGACCAGTGCAGGAAGTGGCCTTCAAAGAGCACAACACGCACTTGCCCAGTCCCTCTCCTTGCTGCTGTGATGCATAGTTTTGTGTCTGCTTCGTCAGTACTTGCTTATTCAGCATAATAGTGAACCACATAAAACTGATCTGTGATCAGGCTTAGCCAGGGAAGGTGGTGAATTTTGCTGTGTTGTTTTCAAAGCACCATGTTTTTCACTTAAAAAATGACTTTTTTATTTTTAGTTATTTGCATTTCTGTCTCTGTGTGTGTGTGTATGGGACCATTTTTGAATGCTGGTCAGCATCACAGAGAGAAACAATCTGAGGGATCTTCAGTTCAGACAAAGCAGGTTTTGTTTGTGTAAAATAATGCCTGTGTTTACTTAACGTTACATCTTTATTTCAATCTTGGCCATACAAAAGGTGCAAAGCAATATAAATAGTCTGAACCACAGCTATGCTCGCCATAAACACCAGGCTGAACTCCGAGAGTTGAAATAAGGCAAAACTCACTGGCAGTTGTCCAGCCACACATCTCCACCCCGCAGCCAGGCCCCGTGATCCTGATTCTTGTAGGCAATAAAGCGCTCAATTATTGCAGGTTCCCTGGGCTTCAAAGGATCAGCATCTTTGTGTGGGCTGTATCTGTAATCAGAAGAAGAGAAGAAAGGTTGGCGAGGGAAGGTAGCCTTGCTCGGTGCACAGCCCTGCTAAACATCTGGTTTCTGCTTTCTCAGGAACAGCTTTGGGACAACGGTCCATCCAAGTAGCGTGTCTAGTCAAGCAGCGATGGCCAGACCCAACTGCCAAGGGAAGGATGGTCCAGGCGAGGCAGTTGTAAAGACCCGCTCCAAGTTTCCTTTCATATTTCCATTATTGTATTGCTGATATATTGCTGAAAGCATGGAAAGTTTTTTATTACTCCCAAAAGTCTGAGATATTTTTTAATCCCTTACTGTTATCCTTTAGCATATTCCTGTTATTTAGATAAATATCCTTTTGTTTTCCCTTTTGAGCATTTGTATCTCCTAACCTTGGCTATACTGTGGCAATGAGTACCACCGCCAAATTTTCCTTGCTGTGGAAAGGAATTAAAACATCTTGGAGAGGGGCTGAGCGTATGTCCTTCACTATTCCCACTATACATTACCCAGGACACGCATACAAGATTTATTAACTGAAGTTCTCAAGTATGACGAAATATTGGCCTGATGTAGGAAAAAAGCAGACACAAGTGGAAACTGCAGCTGCTGCCTGTCGGCCACCTCTTGGGCCACAGGATCTGAGCAAGGATCTGGCTCACTAGGGTGGTGCTGAGCTCAGCTGTCGTTTACCTGGTCTTGAGGCACAGCTCTCCCTCGTGCTAGTGAAGGAGCATCTTCCATCATGCTGTACAGCTTAGAAAACCTGGCAAATGTGTACCCAACTCAGTGCCAGCAACAGATGGCCCAGAGAGTAAAATTCATGCCTCACCAATGGTTAGCGAGGCCAAGCTGTCAGATCACTAACAGATATTCAATAGCGCTTTGCTTTGCTTAATAAGCCATCATATCAATCTAAAACTGAGCATCAGGCTGATAGGGTTCCAGTAAATGAATATTGCTTTGGCAGCTTCATCACTGTGAATTTGCTTTCAGAGAGAGATTTAGTATCAGCCATTGTGAATTCCCCAGACAATGTTAAATACAGATATTTTTGAGATAGATTCCAGTTTCATTTGCATCCATGTATAACTGGATGAGCACGAGCACTACAGGGTACAGAATTTGACTCAGACATTTAATGCTGTAACTGAATGCAGAATCATCTCTACAACTCTGTAACTGTCCAGCCTACCTCAAAGTTTGCCCCAGCCAGTCCAGCTATAATCGTTTGTTCAGTCTTGACCCATGAAAAGTGGAAAATTGTATAAATAATCTGAGCTGCAGTCTGTGCTGGTGGGTAATCCCCGAGCATAAACATGACTGCATTATGAATTGCTTGGCTTCCAGGGGTCATTCCTGCCCTTGTATGGCGAGGGACAAATTGCCTTTTGTAATCACTTACTGTGCCTGTGGCAGCAGGCAGTTTCCCAAGGCACGTGTTCAGCTATATGGAAAAGCAGCATCAGGCTCCCAGGAGAATTTAGAGGTACTTGCAGAGCAGGCTGCTCTTAATAAATTATTTTTTTGACAGTTATTTTTATCATCGAATTATTCATTTCAATTAAATGAGCATCAAAATACTGTAAATAATATTAACTTTTGAACATCTTTTAGCATCAGCTGCTAGGCAGAGCACTGGGGTGAGGTGGATCACAGGATAACTGATATCTGAGCTGTTGGCTGGGTTTCCCTGGGGAGGAGGACTGATCCTACCCCTACAACGCTTGTCCAGTGCATGACTACAGCAGACTGGGTAACCTATGCCCCAGAGATGGAAAGGAGAAAAGTTAAAAACTGTCATTCTCTGCTGCTGAGCAGAGGTTTTCAGCAGGCTTCTCTTCCCTACATGGTTTCTTCTATCAAGAAACCCAGTTGTGGAAGAATGCAGGTTGGGTGCAACTCGAGGCAATTGGTCTGTCAGGAAAGAAAACTATGAAACTCGAGAATATTTACATCCTTTTCTCTCCCTGTGGTTGCTAAGTTAAGAGCCAGAATCAACCTCTAATGAGATAAAAGGGTGCAAGTGCAGTCCTTATGCTGTTACACTTTGTCCACAAGAAGCCCTCTGCTTACATCAGCCTCCTCGCTGAGGTCAGCTTCGGGGAAAGAG